TTTCACTGTGTCAGGTTGTAGTGCAACCCATCTGTATGTGTTGATTGCAGTTGATGTGTTGTTTAATTTTTTTTTTTTGCACTGGGGATCGAACTTGGGTCCTTGCGCTTGAGCAGCAGGCTGCAAAACCACTGAGCTAAATCCCAGGCCCCAAATGTGTTGTTTGAAGTTGAGATATGTAGTTGCCACGTAGTTCCTTTTAGGGTTGGAGGAAAAGGGAATTTGTAGGTGAAAAGGACAGGTCTGGTGCTTGGGAATTTGTAGGCTATTGTAAAAGGAATTTTAGGAATTTAACACTTTTTTTGTAAGGAGGGAAGGAGGGGGGTCACAAGCTAGGGTGGCAATAAGAAGAGGAAGAGGAAAGGGGAGAAAACTTGTCTTGGAATTTTTCTTAAAAGAGCAATTTTAAAACCTTGATTTCCTTGACTTTCTACTTTTTATTTTTTCTCTCCTGCTTCAGAGTGAGCCCACATAAGCATCAGATGCCTAGGTGGGTGACCAGATCATCTAGACCCATCCTCCCAGCTCTTTCCAGGAATGACCTTGTTCTTTCTAACAGGCCCCCAGAAAGCCAGCTGTTCCTCTGCTGCTCCTACCTGTTTATCATCACCCATGGGACTCTAAAATTTTCCACTCTCTTGATCAGTGCCCCCCCGCCCCCATACCTACACTCCCCTATAACAGCCCTGAACATGTGGGACTGCATAACTCTGTAATCATAAAACTCCCCTAGCCCCAACTGTGAATGTGAGTAAATAGATAAAGATGCTTGTTAGTTCTGGGACACTAGATAAGATCTGTATCAGCCATAAGGTCCCAAAGTAAATTACTCAACTCTTTGTTCGCAACTGATGTTCCGAACACCGCTATCTATAGAACAATCTACAAACATCTGCTGACCATCAGTACATGTCAGCTGACCACTAACCTTTGCTCCTCTTCTGTAAATTTCACCTGTTAACTTCCCCTGCAACCCCCTATAAAAGAGCCTCGGACTCTGGGCTAGTGGCCTCTCTAAGCTACTTTGCTTTGGGAGTGCTGTCTGGCCAGACTAAGGTCTGTTTTACTTTCCAGCTTGTCCGATGTGTTCCTTCCCGGGTGTTCTTTGCTGTAGTCAGCTCCTCGGAGCGTTTGGTAAGGCCCTCGGTCTTACATTTTGAAGGCACCGCTGGGATCCCCGGGTGTTCTTTGCTGCAGTCAGCTCCTCGAAGTGTTTGGTAAGGCCCTCGGTCTTACACCCTATAACAACCCTGAACACCCTCCTCTCAGTGTCAGCGGCCTGTTTGTCCCTGGCCAGTCTGCACCCAGATGGCAATAAACTCATAGGACGTTGCTTGAACTTTACCTGCTTTGGGCTGACCTTACACTTTCTATGTTAGAAATCATAGATAAGCTAAAGTTAATGATGTTTAACATATACCTTTGCTATATGCCTTGCGTCCCTATCAGTCAGTATGAACTAGGGCCCAGGATGTAGCTCAGTGGTGCTGTGCCTGCCTGGCAAGCACAAGGTCCTGAGTTCAATTCCTGATACCAGAAAAAAAAAATCAGTATGAACTAAGTGATTATATTTGTAGTTGAAAGGTCCCGAAGAAGGGGGGCACACATGGACACACACAGACGTTCAAGCAAGCTTTATTGGGGCAGCAGTCTGCAGCCTACCAGGCTGACTCACAGAATGGAGACCAGCAACTGCATGGGCTGAGCTGGAGGTTTATATAGGGATCTTGCAGGTGGGAGAGCACTAGGCCATTGGTGGGGGTGGGTAATTGGGGCTGGGGTGTGTAACAATAGGTTGGGGGTGGGGATGGAGTCACCGCTTTCGGGAAGCCCCTGTCTCACTGGAACATCTGACCACGAAACCGGTGGGGCAGAAAGACCTTAACTAGGCAGAGAGTCACTGACAAAGGGAGGTCAGGCCTTAGCTATGCGGAAGTTCCCTGTTCCTTGTGGCTGGAGTGGGGCAAAGGGAAAGGAGAGGAGGGGGCTTGCTCTGTGGGGGCTCTGAATTACCTAACAGTAATTCTGTAGGTTGATTGCAGTTTGACCCATGTTGTGGTTTTACTGTATAAAATATCCTTGCAGAAAGAGCTTCACTGGCCACCTACTCCAGACCGTCTTGTCCCTCAGAATCTTTGTCTTAGTAAACTTTTCCTCCTCCCCTACAACAGAATTCATCCCATCTCTGTAAACTTTTCCTCCTTTGTCCTCAAATTCCATTCTTCAATATATATATATATTTTTTGGTACCGGGGATCGAACTCTGGTCCTTGCGCTTGCACAGCAGGCTGCAAAACCACTGAGCTAAATCCCCAGCCCCTATTTTTAGTTTTAATTCACACATAGCAGTTGCACATTTTTCTAGGGTACACCATGATATTGTTATAGATAGCTAAGTTAGGTAGAAATAGCATAGGCAGTCAGACAGGGCTAGCAACTTAGGGGAGTCAGTGCAGAGGATGAGAACACATTACACCTGTGTCCAGAGGTACATCTGTTGGAGGACAGGCCTCAAGATAAAGACAAAATGACTAGGCCTACATGCCTCCCTAGGGGATAATTGGTATCACTTGTTCCAATAAAGTCTAGATAGACACGAGTCACCAAGGTGGGTGACTAGGATCCCCTGATCCATCCCTTCCTAAAGAAGGTCTTTGTTCTTTTCATGCACACTTATTACGTGACCTGCTTCCCCATTGGATCAATATTACCTAAGTGGCTATATTTGTAATCTTACTGGTTGATCAGAGTTTTCACCCACGTTGTTCCTACCCTGTGATTTTTGTTCTATAAAATTTCCGTTGAGCAGTGGGTTTGTTGGCAACCCACTTTCGGGTCCCTTCCTGTCTCTCAGGAGCTATCTCTCTCAATGAAGTTTGCCTACTCTTTTTTTTCTTTTTTTTGGTACCAGGGACTGAACTCAGGACCTTGCACTTTCCAGGCAGGTGAGGTGCCACTGAACTACATCACTGGCCCAAGTTTTCCTGCTTTTAACCTCTGTTTTCCTTAGAATTCATTCCTCTGTTTTGCAGAACACAAACTCTACATATCTGACATCTACCAGGTTGGGAGTTATATTATTTCCCCTGTATCAGTATCTCAGTGTATGTGTATTACTTATAATGATCATCTCAGGGTAACTGAGACATCTTCCAACCCAGATATACATCATTTCTTTGTCCTGGGAACATTAAAAATCCAGAGGTACTTTAAATACCATTAATTGTTGCCAACTATATTTCTTCCTGTGCGGTTATAAGCTATTAGGACATTAGAGGTTATTCCTCTCGTCCAATCCACCCCTGTTCATCCTCTTTCCCTCTCTCCCACATATTTCAGAGTTGTAATTGTGAGACCAAAGAGACTCCATTTTGTTAAAATCCACTATTCCCCTAGTCTTTCACAAATTAATGGTTAAAATGTGCATGCTCTGGGACAAAAGACACAATCTGTACTGAAGCAAAGTTCCTAAGTTAATTACTCAACCATCTGTTTGCCTAGGAAAAGAACGTTCCAGGCCCCCTATCCATAGAACAATCTGTAGATGTGCTGACTGTCAGTACGTAATGGTGGTGACTATTAGTCAGTGTGTCTGCTGACCATCAGTACGTGACAGTCGACCACTAACCTTTGTCCCTCATTTCCCTCGTAAAACCTACATGTAACCGCCCCTCAACCCCCGATGAACCTAGCCAATCAGAAATGTACACTTCATGCTTGCTAATTGTCAACCAATCATGTAACTGCTAAGTGAAAAATCTCCAAACCTTGCTGTAATCTCTATAAAAACCCCTGGTGTTTTAGAGTCGGGGCTCTCAATTCTGATCCGCTGCGTCGGTGACGGTTGGGAGCCCCTGCTTGAGCTTGAATAAATGGCCTTCGTGTGCTTACATCGGAATCGGCTTCCTGGAGGTCTTTGGGACTTCACGATCTGGGCATAACATTTGGGGGCTCGTCCAGGATCCCCCAAGACCCCAGGATTACTGTACTGGAGAGTCGACACCGGTCGGTGAGTGTCTGGTGTCTCTTTGTTTGTCTGCAATACTGGGGCCCCAATTCTGAGTAGGTCGGCAGACGGTCTAGGCGGACACGCTGCGAGGGCCGCCGACCCGGGATCCTGGAAGACGTTCCGGACCCTTCTGGTGGGGACGGAGTGCCCCATGAGTATGACTCTGTGAGACTCCTGGAGGGACGGTGCGAGTCGCTCCCGCGGTATGGCGTGAGGCCATCGTCCCATTTTTGATATTGCCTCTGATTGGGCAGAGGCCAGTTTTGTCTTGCTTTTTGTTTTTCTGTTGTGTTTGTCTGTTTGTTGTGGTGACTTGGACTGAGAGGATGGGACAGACTGCGACCACCCTCCTGTCCCTCATGACGGACCATTTTAGAGAGGTTAAAGAGCACTCTCATACTCTAAATTTAGAAATAAAAAAAATCCAGACTTGTCCTTCTGTGTAGTTTGGAGTGGCCTTCCTTTGAGCAGGGATGGCCCCCCGAGGGAACTTTTGATTTACAGATCATACACAGGGTCCATGGAGCTGTTTTCCATCCCTACACTGGACATCCTGATCAGGTTCCCTACATTGTCACTTGGGAGAGTTTAATCTGCGACCCCCCACCACGGGTCAAGCCCTTTTTGCCTCCACAGAAACAGCAGCTGGAGGTAATCTTGACAGCCTGTGAAAAGACTCCCAGAGAATACGATGGAAAAAGACAAACCGAGACCAAGCCGACCGCGCCGCTTTACCCAGTTCTTCAAGGAGGAACTGATGAAGATCTCCTCTTTCCCCCTCCCTACCGCCCATACCCCGCTCCTCCACTCCCACCGCTGCGGGGGGGGGGGAAGAGCACCGGTGGAGGCCGAGGCAGAGGCGCCTGCCCCGGCGGGCACCACTGGAGGAGATGGCCCCACCCAAAACACCCGTAATCGCCACGCGGCCTCGCTGGCGGGGCAGCAGATTCCACTGTCCTCCCGTTAAGGGTGGCTGGACCCCCTGATGAGCATGGCAACCAGCCTCATCGTTATTGGCCCTTTGCCACTAGTGACCTCTATAACTGGCAAATTCAACATGCCAACTTCTCTGATAACCCTAGGGATTTGATTAACCTATTAGAAACTGTTTTGTTTACTCATCAGCCCACTTGGGATGATTGTCAGCAGCTCCTCCAGATCCTGTTTACAACAGAGGAGTGTGAAAGAATCCAGGACAAGGCCAGGAAATTGGTTCCTGGAGACAATGGTCAACCCACCACCAATGTTGACACTATCAACATTTCTTTTCCTTTTTCTTGGCCCGATTGGGACTTCAACACAGCAGAAGGTAAGGAGAGACTCCGGGTCTATTGCCAGGCTCTGTTGGGAGGTCTCAAAGCGGCAGCTCGCAAGCCCACCTTTTTGGCCAAGGTAGGAGATATACAGCAGGGGCCGAACGAAAGCCCTGCAGCCTTCCTAGAGAGAATTCAGGAAGCCTTCCGTAGGTATACTCCTATGGACCCAGAAGCAACTGAGACAAAGGCAGCTGTAATAATGCATTTTGTCAACCAGGCGGCACCAGATATTAGGAGAAAGTTACAGAAAGTAGACAGATTAGGAGAGAAGAATATTCAGGACTTAGTGGCAGTGGCAGAGAGGGTATATAACAACAGGGAAACCACAGAGGAGAAACAGATAAAAGCAGATAACCACCAGACCTGAAACCTGGCTCGAATTCTTCTGGCCACCACTGCAGGAGAGCCGAGGGAACATAAACATCGTTTAAGAAAGATTGTGGCAGAAGGATAAGGTAAGGGGGAACATAGGGATCACCCCTGATTGGGAAAGAACCAGTGTGCTTATTGCAAAGAGGAAGGCCACTGGGCTAAAGAGTGCCCCAAAAGGCCACAGGGGGGCCACCCAAAGGCCTCCGTCCTGGCCATGGACGAACTAAGTGACTAGGGGGTACAGGGCTCGGTGCCCCTCCCTGAGCCCAGGGTAACCCTTAGAGTGGAGGGGGAGCCCATTGAATTCCTGGTAGATACCAGCACTCAGCATTCAGTCTTGCTCAAACCACATGGCCATATATCTGACAAAATGTCCTGGGTCCAAGGAGCCACAGGCATGAAAAAATATTCATGGACTACCCGAAGTACGGTAGACTTGGGAGTGGGCCGGGTAACCCACTCATTTATGATTATACCAGACTGCTCCTACCCTTTACTTGGAAGAGACTTGCTCACTAAATTAGGAGCCCAAATCCATTTTCAGCCTGGGGGCGCGGAGGTCCTTGACCAGGAGGGAAAGCCCATCCAAGTGTTAACTATGAGCCTTGAGGATGAATATCTGCTACATCAGAAGCAGTCGCCTCCTGATCCTGACTGGAACAATGGCTTGCCATGTTCCCGGGACCATGAGCTGAGACTGGGGGCATGGGGCTGGCCGCACACAGGACACCTGTGCTCATAGAGATAAAGCCAGGAGCAGACCCTGCATGAGTTCGCCAATATCCCACGTCCCTAGAGGCCTGCAAAGGAATAACTCCACACATCAGGAGGCTGCTTGCTCAGGGTATTCTAAGGCCCTGTCAATTGGCCTGGAACACCCCCTTGTTGCCAGTGCAGAAACCCCACTCGGATGACTATTGACCAGTGCAGGACCTCCATAAGCCTTCTGCTGGCACCCAAAAGCCAGCACATCTTCGCATTTGAATGGAGCGACCCTGAGCAGGGCATCAACGGACAGCTGACCTGGACCTGACTTCCTCAAGGATTTAAAAACTCCCCCACCATTTTTGACGAAGCTTTGCATGAAGACTTGGGCTGGACAGAGACTTTCCCCACCAAGCACGAAACGGCACAGACTGTGGCCAAAAAGCTTTTAGAAGACATCCTACCAAGGTATGGTTTTCCTGTTATGTTAGGATCAGACAATAGACCTGCTTTTGTCTCTAAGGTGAGTCAGAGTTTAGTGCAGGTCTTTGGGGAAAATTGGA